AGAGAGAGAGAGAGAGGAATGGAGATATTTGGAAGAGACAAGTGGTTGTATGTGTACGTGTGTTTATTACGAGAGACAGTTGGAGGACTTCTTCTCTGCGTCCTCTTCTGCATCTTCCACCCCACTCGCACCGTAGCTATTATATTTCATATATTTTGCTAATTTATATATATTTATTTTATAAGTTTTAAATTAAAACTTAGTGTCCAAATTATTTTCTATATTTGAAAAAAGTAATTATGTTATTTATAAATTATAATTAACACACACATGTTTGCTTGTATAATATAATAGATGGGGTTTTTCATATTATATATTTTATGTTAAGTATCAAATATTTTACCAATATTATAATTTATAGTCTTATATATTCATTTCTAAGTTCTACATAAAATTAAGATTACACATTTGTTAAATAATACTCTCTCCGTTTCTCTTTAAAATGTTTTTAGTCTTATAAATTTTTTCCAAAATAAAGTTGTTTGGCCAAATGCAACCTCTCTCTCTTTCTCGAAGTATGCTCCTATTTGCTCTCTCTCTTTCCCTCACCCCTCATCTCCTCTCTCTCTCTCTCTTTCTCTTTAAAAGTCATTTATTTTCTATCAATCTCATTGTCATTTCCACCGCACTTTCAAGGAAGCACAAAGAGAAAAAATGTTTAAATTAAAAATTAATTTATAAAAAACTGCATACTTAAAATGCACATTTAAAGAGAAACGAAGGAGTAGTTTTTAAAAAATATTCATTTAAATACCTAACTTACTTTTACAAAATTCATATTCTAGAAACCTACAAAATATTCTCAAATTTGCTAAGATCTTCACTTTAAAATTTATTATAAGGAAATTAAATTCTAAAATAATTATATAAATGCCTTTTACATGTGACTAATTTTTTTTTAGAATTATAATTTGACAAAATGTATGTGTAATTTTTTAAAATACTTGAGATGTATTTTATGCCGACATCCTTTTTCACATGCAGTTATCTCTTAAGTTAGAATTATTACTTTTTTATTTGATATAAGGGATGTTGATACTCAAATATTCAAGAAAAATTTAAAGAAAAGATATTACTACATACTAGACAATATATTATTATATTTAATACACAATATTAATTTCTGATATAATTTTTCAATTGGACCGTATCTTCACCGCTAAGAGGCGAGTGGGCTTTGCTCTATTAGCCATTCCACCGTTAGAAAACCGGAAACAGAACCAATCATTGAAGCATCATTCAAATTTGCTGGTCAAATCACAAATCATCAACGGCGGAGAACCCGAAGATGAACTCTGAGTGTGATGATTTGTTTATGACCAAGTTGGGGCCACCCGAGAATCTAGCGCTAGTAGTTCAACAAATAAAATACGTAGTTCCGCCCGTACCTGATTTCGCCACACTTTTCACGCGTCGAGGAAACGACAACGTTTTAAACGATTTTTAGCTCATTGAAAGCGACCTTCGTATCATCCGTCACGTTTATTGCGGAGAGCATGAGTATGAAGTGTATTCGATTTCCTCGAGCATATCGAAGGGAAAACAAATCACGTGCCTCGCATGGCCTGCACAATATATGTGGTCTAATTATAATAATTTACAAAAGACAATGATCACGCCTCTTAATTATTAAGATTAGTGAAAATAATCTAATTTTCGTTAATTAATATATATTGAACTACACATGTATGATCCATTTTTTTCTAATTAATTGAGGCATGTATTACATTGAGATGATTCAAAATGATAATAAAAGGTCAAAAAATCGGTTGAAATAACATTGAATAATAATACAATAAAACTAAATTCACTGAAACAATAATGATAAAATTTAATATATATATATGTATAGTTTTTCATTTAATAATTTGTGCAATTAATTGATGTAAAGTATTTCACTCTATAAAGAGATTAGAAGATATGAGAATATTTATGTTTTAATAAAGAAAGAGAAGATGAACAATTGAGTGGATGATTTATTAGTAATTCAATAGATTGGTTCACAACCTAATTTTACAAACTTTTTTTCACAACCCTGACATGACACTTACAATTGTTCAACTTATAATTGGGTAACCGACCCATTGGCAGGTGAAGACTCATTACGAGCTATCACGTCGGGGTTGTGAAATTGGAATGTAAGTGTAGTATTGCTCTCTACCCAAATCTTACCTGAATAAACATATTTCTTAATTATCTCTTTCTCATCATTCTTTCAATTTTTTTTTTTTTTTATTCTGATTAATGTGCTTAGATTCTCTCCAGGCTCTATAGACTATAACATCAACCTTCTCCCTTCAGGGAATTGGAGAAAATGAATTTGAAAATGCAACATGGAGCAATCAAACATAATAAAACATGTCAAAAATAAAAAAAAAAAAAATTTGTCTCCTTAATTAAAGATAAATATATCTAACTCGTTTCACGTGAGCTTGTGGAAGGCCCAATTGTACATACTATCTTTGTTTTTCTTTGGGCATTTGGACTTAAAACTGTCTCTCCCAGGGTGCGCTCACCCAGGGCCGGCTCAAGGGGTAGGCAGGTGAGGCACCTGCCTAGGGCCCCCAAAAAATAAGGCCAAAAAAGGCCAAATTTTTTATAAATTTTTTTAATATATTACAAAAATAAAAAAAATATATAATTTCTTAACTAGGCCAATCCAAGGGGCTTAAAAAAGAAAAAACCAAAAAGACCCAAATTTATTATTAACATTTTACATATATTCCCACCCAAAGTTTGACGAAATGGTAAGTTTATACCTCTAGTTTCATAAATTTTAATTGACACCCCTAATTAACACATTAAATTTCTTTTAACAATGAAAGACTAAAATGGTTATTTATATGACTCAAATTATTCACCCCCAATTCAATCCCAAAATTTAATATTCACATAAATCATCTCCACCCCTCTTCCACCACCGGCCGTTTGGAGCTGATTTTGGTCAAATTTTTTCACCAAAATCAATCGGAACCATCACTTTATCGTTTTCCAAGTGTTTTTCCAGCCTTGATAGCCCTCGATTTGGCCATTTTTTACGAATCTCGCAACCTAGCTCTACCATTGTGACAACAATTTCCGACCTTTTCGGCATGTACTTGGCATCGTTGACCTTCCCCAACACCACCATCTTCCTCCCCTCTGCCTTCTCACCGAAACCCCTATCATACCTATCCGTTTACTCTGCCAAACGCCGGCCACCAAAACCTTTTGGGCAGTGACTTCTCAAGTCTTTTCCGGTCAATCTTGGCATTGGAAATCAACCATTTCACCACCCATCGCTTCTCCAGCATCTGCTCTCCAAAACCCCCCACCAACCTGACCCCGTTAGCCCGTTGGTCGTCGTCCACCTCTCCTAGTGATTTTGCATCTCAAAAGGCAAGAAAAATAAATTTGAAATAATTTTTTTAATATATGCTTATATTATTAGANGAAAAAATAAGTAATAGGCTTAAGAGTGTCAGTTTTTTGTCAGAAAATAAAATAAATTCAATTTGAAAATCTGGAAAATTAAAAAGAAAAAAGTAATTAAAGTGAATAAAATAAGATTGAAATTTATAAAAAAAATTATAAATATGGGAAGTTTCTAATAAGAACAGTTTATGCATACTTAATTAGGATATAATAAATAATTGCTGAATTAAATGGTAAGTAGATGGAGAATCTAATACAATTTAGACTAAGGTAAGGTGGCAATTTCTTGTTATGCATGATTTTGTTTCTTGACATTTGCCAACTAATGCATTTTGAAAGGTAATTATGGGTTAGAATAGTATAACATTTGGTTCAATATTATATCCATATTCTATTCTACTATTATATCCTAAAAACTCAAAAATACAAACTCTATCCACATACACATTTGGTTCACTAATTTTACCCTATCATATTCCACTATCCTATCAAATCCTATCCAAATACACCTTTGTTTCAATATTCAAAATTCTCTTCAAAATACAATACTATTCTATTAAACTCAAAATATTTAGATTATTTTTAATCTATTAGGTTTATTAATTTAACTAAACACCCCCAATAATAAAAGTTTATAAATTGACAAAAACACTCCTATCCACCCACATTTGTTAGATTTCGGCCACCACTTCGAAAGGTGGTCGAAATCTGCCGTATTGGCGCACTACCGGCTAGATATGGCTGGTAGTGCGCCGATCTGGCCTTTCCTGTGGATCTGGCCAGAAAAGGCTAGATCTATGGCCGGCAGATCTGGCTAGAGTTTTTGGTTGTTGACGAAGGCCATTATTTGGCCATCAATGATAGCCAAAAGATCTGGCTAGATTTGGCTCTCAATGGCCAGATCTAGGGTGGATTTGGCCAAAAAAGGCTATATCGACGCAATACCGGCAATATCCAGCCAGTAGTGTGCTATTACGGTAGATTCTGGCCACCTTCTAGCAGTGGTGGCCGAAATCTAGCAAATGTGGGTGGGGGTGTTTTTGTCAATTTATAAACTTTTATTGTTTGGGGTGTTTAGTTAAATTAACAAACCTAGGGGGTTAAAAATAATCTAAATATTTTCAAAAAATGCTATTAAAAAATGTACAAAAAACTTCTCATAATACTACTTAACTTAATTTTTTTTAAAAGACTATTCTAAAAACTCCCAAAATAGTGAACCAAACGAAGCCATTATATTTTAGCCATATGTTGCATGCAATGTTAATGTTATGGCATATGTTTCCATTGTGAATAAAGGTATGAAATTTATGAACTTCTAAGTACAACAAAATCCCTGTAACAAGCCGTGTTACATAAACTTTGTCCTCAACTCATGAAGAAAGAATGCATCAAAAGTAAAATCACAACAAAAACATAAGTTACCTTTACGCCGGGAATAGGAGGAAACCTAGAGAATAAAGAAAAAGAAAATATGGAGATACCGATGATTCGGTCCACCGGCCCCCGTGACCTCCAGCATTACGTTGATTTAATGAGTTCATCATTAATTATGCTATGACGATGAAGGCATAACTTTAGAATCCCTAGCCATATTCGTCTGTAAGATCTGTCACTATCGTCTCTCTGTTAAGGGTTCGCCACTGCACATCAAAATTAAACAAGATATAAAACATTCTAATTCATTACCCAAGCTACGTAATTCCACATGGTCAAACTGTAGAAACCATTAGCCAAAACAAACTACAATAAAAAAGTGAAAAGTAACAACAAGATATATCGATTATCTCTTAATTTGTTCCAATAAAGGACTACATCCATCGTTCAAATAAAGTCTTTATGAGTTTAAAAAAATTACAAAATACAATAATCTTAAAAATCGCAATTCACTGCTGCTCTTTATTTTATAATTCATAGGTTTTTCACTATTACACAAAATGTATACAATAAAAAAAACCTAAACCCCATTTGAGCTTACCCAATCTAAACGAATCAGGCACCATAAAGTATGGTCAAGGGCCATACGAATATGTCGATGTAAACTGATACTCCTGTCAGGTCATGCGAAATATAAATCCATACACAATAACACATAGTTACGTTACTTAAAATGTTAAAAAAGGATGAAAGTGAATGCTGAACAATAAATATTCTTTTCAAAAATGCCCTTGATTGTGAAATTGTTCATGCGGTTGATTAGACTAACACAACAAACAGAGGAATTTCTTTCCACCTATATAGCCCATTTCCCATATTTTAGGGCTTTATTTGGGAGGACATCTTTTTAGACAACATAAATAACTTGAATCCGAGAGATGAATCACACAGAACATGTATGACACTAGGAATTTGTGCCTTAAAGAGCACAATCTAACCTTAAGAATAACAATTAATTAAGATTAAACTACAGATCAAATCAAGTATTTTATATACATTCAAATATTTCCAAACAATGCAAATGTATCTCCTTTACAATAGAAAGAGTGACAACATATTGGTTTTCCCTAGTGATTAACAAACGGGTCTTAATTTACTTAAAATTAAGTAAATATATGTAAAATGTGCCATAAGTGATCAAGGAAGTGAAAGAATTAAAGAGCGTTTGGAATCAACTAAAAATAATCACACACAAATAAAAAAAGGTAATGGTAAAGAGAAAGAACACACACATTGATTTGCTCTGGTTTACCTAAATCTGACGTACATCAGCAAAATCATATAATATTCAATATTCTTCAAATCTTCATTCACAATGAATGTATTTACTATGATATTATACTATATCACTATACAAGAGATAATGTGTTATATACTGGTTTATTAAAGAGAAACATAATACTATTAGGAGTGCAAATCCTAGAGAAATTCTACCGCGGTTCTTAATGGTATTTACCCAAACCCTCATATGCGTCACCCTATGTTGTTGGAGTGGCGCTAATTCCAATAGGAAGGAGTACAAACAAACCCAAATGAACCAAGCACTCTAACTAAATTAATATTTTTATTTCAAATCAATAAAACCATATGATTTTAGACTTCACCTCTTGATTTAAAGAAACGGGTGCTAGCGCACGGTTTTATGTTTTATACGGGCACAGTTCTAAGAGTCCATGGACTATTTATTTTCTATGCATTTCAAAATTAAGTACTTGAGTATTTAGCAATTATTTTGGCTATTGAACTTACAGTTTCAAAGGGTTTGTCTTCTAATTGGTTGAAAACCGATTCTTTCTACCTACCACTGCTTTCACAATCCCAAATTTACTCCTCTAATGCTTAGTTTTTCTCTTTCTGTTATTTGAGCGTATAATTAACGCTTTGATTCATTATGTACTTCATGCATTTGCATTGCTTGTTTTATTATATACTTAGTCTATCTAAGGGGTAAGGCTCATTACATCGCCGCCCCCCTCCCCCTTTGTTCCTCTTAGGTACATCCTTATTTTTTATTAATAAAAATTTCCCTTGTATCACTAAGGTTGCCTACAAAAAATTATAAAATTAGCATCGTTTTTTTTTTTTGGGGAAATGCACTAAACATGTCTCTATTGAGGTTGCCAATTCGGAAAAGAAAAGAAAGGGATAATTCTAGCGAGAGTAGTAGTGAGATTAAATGCTTGAGGTCCAATGGGAGAAATTCATACGAGTACAAGGTTTTTCTGGCGCAAACCCAAAGCACTAAATGTGTTTAATCATAAAGGTTCTAATCACAAGCAAAACTTCCAATTTCCAGAGAGGCTACTCAAATTCCAAAATTATTGAATCCAAGACAAGAATACTTCTAAAGGAATTTTATGAAAACTTAATGAATAGATCTCTGATATTTCTTTAGGAGTTCTACCAGATAATAAGACGTATCTAACATTTATGGTATATACACACTCTATGTGGGAAAAGTAATACTCAAATAAGGAGAAATGGAAAAGGAAGTTGTTGTCACCTATTTTGTTTATTCATTATGATTGCCCTTTTTTCCTTCATAACACCGCCTTCTTTCCTTCCTTACCACTACTCCTCTCTTTGTTTCACTTTTGCTTCTTATAAGCCTCAACAGAACATCTTCACACATCATTTCCACTTCAGACAATATTAAATAAATCACCAATCATCACTGATTATGCGAAATCGAATTAACTCAATCAAAGCATCTAAGCTAACTTAAAAGTCTTTTGTCATTGATGAAGGCCTTTGGATTTCTATTTTTTTTGGTAAGTATGTAGTATCATTAAAAGAGATAAAAAATGTACAAAAAGTTCATAAAAAAACCAACCATCATACTTCAGGACGGGTCTTGAGAAAAGAATAAAAACAAATTTATAAATGAAAACCTAATATTCTCTTGTTTGTCTATCTCTAAAACACGCGAAGGATAAAGACATAGGAGAGAGCAAGCAAAGGAACACAAAGACAGAAAACATCTTACCACACGACATGCCCTGGATAGGATTAAAAAAACTTAAACACAAACTAAGAATAATAATACACAACATTCTATTTCTACTCAGGACAAGCCTTAGGTTAAAGAGATATTAATTGGTTGAATCTAAAAATATTTGATTTAAAAGTGGGAAATGGTTCATGACTTGTGTAGCTACTTAAGTCAAAAATCCGAAAGATATTAAAATGGCCCAAAGGAATGTGGCTTATTCGAGTTATCTCTTCAACTATGGTTGTTTTCCTCAATACCAATGCATATTTATGTCACCTTCATTGGTTAGTATATTTTTAAAACTTGGTATCAGAGCTAGCACTATAATATTTGATCCATGTTGGTGTTTGAGGGAGAAATTTTGGCTTCTAAGTCCAACAATCACCCTCTTACTTGAAGATATTCAAGAAAATTTGGTAGTGAAAAGAAAACCACCTTCGGCAAAATTATCTTAATCCTACACTAACACTAAATGGATTTAACTTATGATCAACCTTATGCTACCCTCATACTGTTAATCATGTTTTACCTTAAATCTTTAAGTTAGCACTATTTTAGGGATCGTTAAGTTGTCATCCCACTCTAAAAGCTTAAGTTTAGTAGGTGAGAGCTCAACATATATTAGACTAATAGGCACCCTCACATCAAACTTAGATTTTTTTTTTCATTTTTCTTTATCTATTGTGTTGTGGGGATTTGAACTTGAGACTTTTGACTCTAATACCATGTTAAGTGTCATCTCACCTAAAAGTTAAGTAATAGATGAGGCTCAAACAATATTAGACTTATAGGGAGACATAAAATTTCAATCAATCCAAAAGAACAAAAAATCCCAAGAAAATTTGAGTTTGAGGTTTGAGGTGTGGATGGGAAAAATTATGCCCGAGACTAAGAATGTGGGGGCAGGGGTGGATGATAATAGTTAGAATAATGCTAGATGTACAAGTAAATCTTACAAAGATTTGTGTATAAACTAATGTATTAGGAAATTAATGGAAGAATTCTACAAAAAGTCAAAAACATCATATTTCACTCTCCATTCATTTTCTGTCATATCAAGTTATAACAAACCTTTGTGACAATTTGCTGTACATCCAACATTATTGAATAGTTAAAATCCACAACTCCCAACTTGTCTCTGTCCCCAATAAAAGAATAATTAATTATAAAGTATTTATTTTCTAAAAAAAAATATTGAGATTCTTGGCTATGAAGATGGGGAAGAGTATTTATTCCCCTTCGAAGGATACCGCTCTCACAAAAATCCAAGGCTAAAGCCACGGTTGGAAAGAGGTATCTCAACCAGATCGGGGTTGGAGACGAAGGTCTGACCTTGATCCTAAAATTGCCAACTCTAACTATTCCAATATACAACCGCTATTGCCAAACCCTATTTATCTTTACAATTACATGACACCATGTAAATTACAAACAACAAACAAAATAATAGTGTATCATGGTAAATTAACAATAATAAGATTTAATGAAAAAAAGAGGGTGACCTCGACAACAAATTAAGTAATTACTAAGTATAAATCCAAAGGTAGCAACAAAAAATGAGTGGTAATAATAATATTCTTATTTACAAATATGGCAGTTGAAATATATATGTAGCAATATCTATCGAGAACTACAAAAACATATACGCGAGAAACTTTAGTTTAAATTTGGAAAATGACAACTCAAAAATTAGTGCAACAAAATAAGTATCTGTAATAATAAATATTTACTAGTTAAGGTCTAAATAGAATGCAAGGAAATATTCCATGTTTGATATATAGTACCGATAATATATCAAGTTTACAGCACAATAATCCATTGAATATAACTCTATTAAAACATGAGATAGTAACTCATAAAGAGAAACAATCGATGATATCCATTATTAAATTTATCAAAATTATAGTTACGAGATATACCTTTCCACCTCGACTTCTAAAGTTGTACGAAAACCAGAAGCGCTGAGTAAGTAGGCTATGACATAGGGAGGAATCGTATTGAGTTCTCCATGTTGCATTTTCAACTTCATTTTCTCCAGTTCACGAAGGGAGAGTTTGATGTTGTAGTCTACTAGGAGCCTGACAGATAATGAACATTGATAAAAAAAAATGTTAAGGAGAGAAAGCGAATAAAGCTGTAATAATCTGTCTATAATAAATAAAAAAATTAATACATACCTCAATTGTACCATAAGTAATGTGACAAACGTTGCATGACGAAGAGCATGGAACATATTGGTCAATGCATTTGCAGCAATGCTTACTTGGGGTCTGCGAGCGGCAAGAAGAATTGATTGGGTAAAAAGAATTGAAAGTTCACATTTCTTACCGCAGGAAGTTCACACACAAGCGCGAAACTCTGAGGTATTGAATTTGTAAAACGAAGAAGGTAGCACTGGTGCAAGAAGTCAATCCTGCCTCGGTTGGCTATTACAAATTTGAGAGGTTGAAGTTAATAAGCTGAGGTCAAGTGATTCTGAAAACCTAAAATCCGACAGGTAACAATCACCTAAGTACAGGCTCCTCAAATTAGGGCAACTAGAGAAAGGATCAAAGGGTGCTGACTTTCATAAGAATTGCATCTACTCAAATGCAAATCTTGCAACCCCACAAAACCAAACCAGTTTTTGTGTAAGATTCAGGACGGAAAGTTTCCATCACCAATTGTTAATAGACTCGCAGGCAATCAGTCTTTGTGGAGACAAACTCTCCCCAGTCCACTTGAAGCTGAGCCTTAACATTGTGAGAAATAAGGTAGTCAATCACTTTTGTCATGAAGGACTTATCGTCTGCCACGACGAGTAAGAGAGAATTTACCGATATCAACGGACTGGTCTCGACGAGTTAAGACGTCGAGGATGAATCTCTGAAACAGAAATTGTGTGAAATTCATGCTATCGAAATTAGGTCAGGAAGAGTTTCCAAGGTTTATATACCTCTTAGAGAGGCAGACAGGTTTGAACTGCGAATTTTGTGTCAGTAAAAGAGAGGATTTGATGGAGGATGTCATTGGTAAGTTGCTGAGCTATCATCTGTGCATTTCTTGACTCTCTTGTTCCTCCTTGGCATTTTGATACAGGGATTTTCACACACAAAAACAAAGTTGGGGGATGAGTATTTTAGTCTGAAAATTCTGAGAAGAACAGGAATGAAGAAGAAGAAGGAAGAGAGAATGATTGAGGTTTAATGAAAGGGAAGGAGAAGGAAAAATGAGACTATGTGATGGCGTTTTCTTTCTTGAATTCCGATTTTGTTTTCTAGAAATTCGAGAAGTAATAAATGCATACTTCCAACTCCCACTCGCACCGTAGCTATTATATTTCATATATTTTTGCTAATTTATATATATTTTATTTTATAAGTTTTAAATTAAAATTTAGTGTCCAAATTATGTTCTATATTTTATGAAAAAAGTAATTATGTTATTTATAAATTATAATATAACACAAGCACATGTTTGCTTGTAATAATATAATAGATGGTGTTTTTCATATTATATATTTTTATGTTAAGTATCAAATATTTTACCAATATTATAATTTATAGCCCTATATATTCATTTCTTAAGTTTTACATAAAATTAAGATTTACACATTTGCTAAATAATACTCTCTCCGTTTCTCTTTAAAAGTTGTTTTAACCTTATAAATTTTTTCCAAAATAAATGTCGTTTGGCCAAATGCAATCCTCTCTCTCTTTCTCGAAGTATGCTCTTATCTGATCTCTCTCTTTTTCTTTCTCCTCTTTTCTTCTCTCTCTCTCTCTTTCTCTTTAAAAGCCATTTATTTTCTATCAATCATCATTGTCATTTCCCACGCACTTTCAGAGGAAGCAGCAAAGAGAAAAAATGTTTAAATTAAAAAATTAATTTATTAAAAAACGTGTAATAACTTAAAACGACATTTAAAGAGAAACGAAGTTAGTAGTTTTTAAATAAATATTCATTTAAATACTTAACTTATGTTTACAAAATTCATATTCTAGAAACGCTACAAAATATTCCTCAAATTTGCTAAGATCTTCACTTTAAAATTTATTATAAGGAAATTAAATTCTAAAAATAATTACTAAATGCCTTTTACATGTGACTTAATTTTTTTTTTAGAATTTATAAATTTGACAAAATGTATGTGTAATTTTTTAAAAATACTTGAGATGTATTTTATGTCGACATCCTTTTTCACATGCAGTTATCTCTTAAGTTAGAATTATTACTTTTTTATTTGATATAAAGTGATGTGATAACTCAAATATTCAAGAAAAAATTTAAATAGGAAAAGATATTACTACATAACATAGACAATATATTATTATATTTTAATACACAAATATTTAAATTTCTGATATAAGATATTTTCAATTGGACCGTATTCTTCACCGCTAAGAGGCGAGTGGGCTTTGCTCTATTAGGCATTCCACCGTTAGAAAACCGGAAAACAAGAACCAATCATTGAAGCTATCATTCAAATTTGCTGGTCAAATCACAAATCATCAAACGGCGGAGAACCCGAAGATGAACTCTGAGTGTGATGATTTGTTTATGACCAAGTTGGGGCCACCCGAGAATCTAGCGCTAGTAGTTCAACAAAAATAAAATACGTAGTTCCGCCCGTACCTGATTTCGCCACACTTTTCACGCGTCGAGGAAACGACAACGTTTTAACGATTTTTTAGCTCATTGAAAGCGACCTTCGTATCATCCGTCACGTTTTATTCGCGGAGAGCATGAGTAATGAAGTGTATTCGATTTCCTCGAGCATATCGAAGGGAAAAACAAATCACGTGCCTCGCATGGCCTGCACAATATATGTGGTCTAATTATAATTAATTTACAAAAGACAATGATCACGCCTCTTAATTAATTAAGATTAGTGAGAATAAAATAATCTAATTTTCGTTTAATTAATATATATTGAACTACACATGTATGATCCAATTTTTTCTAATTAATTGAGGCATGTATTACATTGAGATGATTCAAAATGATAATAAAAAGGTCAAAAAATCGGTTGAGAATAACATTGAATAATAATACAATAAAACTAATATTCAACTGAAACAATAATGATAAAAATTTAAATATAGATAATAATGTATAGTTTTTCATTTAATAATTTGTGCAATTAATTGATGTAAAGTATTTCACTCTATAAAAGAGAGTTAGAAGATATGAGAAATATTTATGTTTTAATAAGAGTAAAGAGAAGATGAAACAATATGAGTGGATGATTTATTAGTAATTCAATAAAGATTGGTTCACAACCTAATTTTACAAACTTTTTTTCACAACCCTGACATGACAGCTTACAATTGTTCAACTTATAATTGGGTAGACCGGACCCATTGTTGGACAGGTGAGACTCATTACGAGCTATCACGTCGGGGTTGTGAAATTGGATTGTAAGTGTAGTATTGCTCTCTACCCAGAAATCTTACCTGAATAAACATATTTCTTAATTATCTCTTTCTCATCATTCTTTCAATTTTTTTTTTTTTTTTTAATTCTGATTAATGTGCTTAGATTCTCTCCAAGGCTCCATATAGACTATAACATCAACCTTCTCCCTTCATGGAATTGGAGAAAATGAATTTGAAAATGCAACATGGAGCAATCAAACATAATAAACAAATGTCAAAAATTAAAAAAAAAAAAAAAGATTTGTCTCCTTAATTAAAGGATAAATATATATAAAACTCAAACTTCCCTTAATCTTCTAATCAACAAATTGTAACAAGGTACATAAACTTTCTCCTCAACTCATGAAAAGAATGCATCAAATAAATCAACAAAAATCATAAGTCTAACCTTTACTGCCTGGAATAGGAGAAGCTAGAAAAAATAAAATGGAGATAGAGTCAGCTTAACAGCTTTAATGAGTTATCATTAATTTGCATATAGCCGATGAAGGCATAATCTTAGAATCCCAGCCATCTTCTTCTTAAGATCTTCACTATCTTCCATCTCTGTTCAGGTTCGCCACTGCACATCAAAATTAAACAAAGATATAAAACATTCTAATTCATTACCCAAGCTACGTAACTTCCACATGGTCATAACTGTAGAAACCATAGCCAAAACATACAATAATAAAAGTAGAAAAGTAACAAAAGATAATCGATTTATCTTAATTCGTTCCAATAAAGGAACTACATCCATCGTTCAAATAAAGTACTTTATTGAGTTTAAAAAATTTACAAAATACAATAATCTTAAAATATCGACAATTCACTCTTGCTCTTTATTTTATAATTCTAGGTTTTTCACTATTACAAAATGTATACAATAAAAAACCTAACCCCATTTGAGCTTACCCAATCTAACCCGACTCAGGCCCAAATATGTGCAAGGCCATACGAATATGTCGATGTAAACTGATACTCTGTCAAGGTCATGCGAAATATAAACCATATCCAACAATAACAACATAGTTACATTTACTTAAAATGTTAAAAAAGGGAAAGTGAATGCTGAACAATAATATATCTTTTCAAAATGCTTGATTGTGAATTGTTCATGCGGTTAGATGATCACAACACAAGAGAATTTCTTCCCATATATAGCCCCATTTTTAGGATTCTATATTTGGGAGTGACATCTTTTTAGAACAAATAATAATTGAATCCTAGAGATGAAATCACCAAGAACAAGTATGACACTAGGATATTTTCTTAAAGAGCCACAATCTAACCTTAAGAATAACAATAATTATTAGATTAAACTACAAGATCAAATCAAGTATTTATATACATTCAAATATTTCCAACAATGCAAATATATTCTCCTTTACAAATAGAAAGAGTGACAACATATTGGTTTTTCCATAAGTGATTAACAAACGGGTCTTAATTTACTTAAATTAAGTAAATATATTTGTAAAATTGTGCCATAAGTGATCAAGGAAGTGAAAGAATTAAAGAGTGTTTGGAATCAAACTAAAAATAATCACACACAAATAACAAAATAGTAAAGAGAAAAAACACGCGCGATTTATCCTGGTTTACCTAAATCTGAGTTACATCCAATAGAGTCAATATTATTTCAATATTTTTTCAAATCTTTCATTACACTGAATGTATTTATTATGATTTCATATATCACTCATATAAGAGAATAATGTCTTTATATACTAGGTTTATTAAGAGAAACCTAATACTATTAGGAGTTCTAATCCTTAGAGAAATCCTACCGTGGTTCTTCATGATATTTATCCAAATCCTTATATGCGTCACCCCTTATTGTTGGAGTGGTCGCCAATTCCAACAGGAAGGAGTTACAACAAACCCAAATGAAACCGAAGCACTCTAACCTAAATTAATATAATCAATTAAAACCATATTATGATTTTAGACTTCACCATCTTGATTTAAAGAAAATTGGTATCTAGCGAGGGTTTTATGTTATACGGGCAAGTTTCTAAGAGTTGTCCATGGACCTATTTATTTTCTATACATTTCAAAATTAAGTACTTGGAGTATTTAGCAATTATTTTTGGCTATTGAAGTTACAGTTTCAAAGGGTTGCTCTTCTAGTTGGATTGAAAACCGATTCTTTCTCAGCTATCCAATGCTTTCACAATCCCAAATTTACTCCTCTGTGGTAGTTGCATAATCGATGGTTGACTTGTTTGTCATCTCTTTGCTCCATGATCTTTCGTTGATTTGTCATGAGAAAAATGAGGTTGCAGATAAGCTTGCTAATGCTGGCCTACTACATCCTTGGTTGGTGGGAAATGCACTAAACTCTCTCTATTGAGGTTGCCAATTCGGAAAGAAGAAAGGGATAATTCTTAGCGAGAGTTAGTAGAATATATAATGCTTGAGGTCCAATGGGAGAAATTCAAATACGAGTACAAGGATTTTTCTGGCACAACCAAATAGGCACTAAATGTGTTTAATCATAAAGGTTCTAATCCACGAGCAAAACTTCCAATTCCCAGAGAGGCTACTCAAATTCACAAAATTATTGAATCCAAGACAAGAATACTTCTAAAGGAATTTTATGAAAACTTAATGAATAGATCTCTAATATTTCTTTAGGAGTTCTCCGATGAATAAGACGTATCTAACATTTATGGTATATTACAACTCTATATGGGAGAAGTAATACTCAAAATAAGGAGAAAATGGAAGTTGTGGTCACCATCGCTAAGTTTGCAAACGTCATGTCTCTATTTTGTTTATTCATTATTATTGCCTTTTTTTCCTTCCTTACCACCACTACCTCCCTTTTGTCTTCACTTTTGCTTCTTATAAGCGTAACAATGAACATCTTCACACATTTTCACTTCAGACAATATTAAATAAATCACCAACTCATCACTTGATTATGCGAAATCGAATTAACTCAATCAAAGCATCTAAGCTAACTTAAAAGTTTCTTTGTCATTGATGAAGGCTTTGGATTTTTTTTTTTTTTTTTTTTTGGTAAGTATGTAGTATCATTAAAAGAGATAAAAAATGTACACAAAGTTCATAAAAAAACCAACCATCATACTTCAGGACGGGTCTTGAGAAAAGAATAAAAACACAAATTTAATAGACTGATAACCTAATATTCTCTTGTTTGTCTATCTTAAACACGTGAAGGATAAAAGACAATAGGAGAGGAGCAAGCAAAGGAACACAAAGACAGAAACATCTTACCACACGACATGCCCTAGGATAGGATTAAAAAAAACTTAAACAAAACTAAGAATAATAATACACAACATTATTCCTACCTCTGGACAATCCTTAGGTTAAAGAAGATATTAATTGGTTGAAATTTAAAAATATTTGATTAAAAAGTGGGAAATGGTTCATGACTTGTGTAGCTAACTTAAGTCAAATCACTGAAAGATATTAAAATGGCCCCAAAGGAATGTGGCTAATTCGAGTTTATCTCTTCAACTATTGGTTTGTTTTCTCAATACCAATGCATATTTATGTCACCTCTCATTGGTTGGTATATTTTTTTTTAAACTTGGCATCATAGCTAGCGCTATAATGATTTTGATCCTATGTTGGTGTTTGAGGGAGAAATTTTTGGCTTATAAGTCCAACAATCACCCTCTTACTTGAAGATATTCAAGAAAATTTGGTATTGTAAAAGACTAACCACCTTCCGCAAAATTATCTTAATTCCTACACTAACACTAAATGGATTTAATTATGATCAACCTTATGCTACCCTCATACTGTTTAATCATGTTTTACCTTAAATCTTTAAGATTAGCACTATTTTAGGGATCGTTAAGTTGTCATCTCACTTAAAAGCTTAAGTTATTAGTTGTGTTCTCAACATATATTAGATTAATAGACACCCTCACATCAAACTTGGATTTTTTTTTTCATTTTTCTTTATCTAGTTTGTATGTGTGGATTTGAACTTGAGGCTTTTGACTCTAATACCATGTTAAGTTGTCATTTTACCTAAAAGTTTAAGCTAATAGATGAGGGCTCAACATATATTAGACTTATAGGGATGACATAAAATTTCACTCAATCCAAAAGAATAGAAAATCCCAAGAAAATTTTGAGGTTTGAGGTGTGGATGGAAAGAGTTATGCTCTCGAGACCAAGAACGTGGGGGCGGGGGTGGATAATAGTTATGAATAATGCTAGATGTACAAGTAAATCTTACAAAGATTTGTGTATAAACTAATGTATTAGGAAATTAATGGAAGAATTACTACAAAAAGTCAAACTCATCATATTCACTCTTCCATTCATTTTCTGTCATATCAAGTTATATACAAACCTTTGTACAATTTGCATGTACATCTAACATTATTGAATAGTTGAAATCCACAAACTCCCAACTTTGTCTCTGTCCCCAATAAAAGAATAATTAATTATAATAGTCATTTTATTTTCTTAAAAAAAAATATTGAGATTCTTGGCTATGAAGATGGGGAAGAGTATTTATTCCCCTTCGAAGGATACCCGCTCTCAAAAATCCAAGGCTAAAGCCACGGTTGGAAATGATGGTATCTCAACCAGATCGGGGTTGGAGACGAAGGTCTTGACCTTGATCCTAAAAATTGCCAACTCTAACTATTTCCTAATATACAACCGCTATTGCCAAACCCTATTTTAATCTTTATAATTACATGACGACCATGTAAATTACAAACAACAAACAAAATAATAGTGTATCATGGTAAATATAACAATAATAAGATTTAATGAAAAAGAGGGTGACCTCGACAACAAATTAAGTAATTACTAAGTATAAATCCAAAGGTAGCAAACAAAAAATGAGTGTGTAATAAATTAATATTCTTCATTTACAAATATGGCAGTTGAAATATATATAGTAGCAATATCTATCGAGAATCTAAAAATACATATTCGAGAAACTTTAGTATTAAATTTGGAAAATGACAGCTCAAAATATTAGGTATGCAACAAAATAAGTATCTGATTAATATAAATTCATTACTAGTTAAGGTCTTAAATAGAATGCATAGGAAATATTCCATGTTTGATATATAGTACCGATAATATATCAAGTTTACAGCACAATAATCCATTGAATATAAAACTCTATTAAAACATGAGATAGTAACTCATAAAAGGAAACAATCGATGATATCCATTATTAAATTTATCAAAATTATAGTTACGATGATTATACCTTTCCACCTCGACTTCTAAAGTTGTACGAAAACCAGAAGCGCTGAGTAAGTAGGCTATGACATAGGGAGGAATCGCTATTGAGTTCTCTCCATGTTGCATTTTCAACTTCATTTTCTCCAGTTCCACGAAGGGAGAAGTTTGATGTTGTAGTCTACTAGGAGCCTTGACTAGAATCTAATTGATCACATTAGAATAAAAAAAAATTGTAAGAGATGAGAAAGACGTAATAAATCTGTCTATATAATAAATATAAATAATTAATTAACATACCTCAATTGTACCATAAGATAATGTGACAAACTGTGCATGACGAAGCACATGGAACATATTGGTCAATGCATTTGCAGCAATTTGCTTACTTGGGGCTGAACGGAAGAATTGATAGGGTAAAAAGACTTGAACGTTCACATTTCTTACAGCAGGAAGTTCAACCAAGGCGAAACTCTGAGGTATTGAATTTGTAAAACTGAAGGAAGTGAGCACTGGTGCAAGAAGCTCAATCCTGCCTCGGTTGGCTATTACAAAATTTGAGAGGTTGAAGTTAATAAGCTGAGGTCCAGTGATTCTGAAAACACTAAATCCTGACAGGTAACAATCACCTAAGTACAGGCTCCTCAAATTAGGGCAACTAGAGAAAGGATCAAAGGGTTGCTGACTTTCATAATGGAATTGCATTCTACTCAAATGCAAATCTTGCAACCCCACAAAACCAAACCAGTTTCCTGGTAAGATTCCAGGACGGAAAGTTTCCATCACCAAACTGTTAATAGACTCGCAGGCAATCAGTCTTTGTGGGAGACGAAACTCTCCCCAGTCCACTTGAAAGCTGAGACCTTTAACATTGTGAGAAATAAGGTAGTCAATCACTTTTGTCATGAAGGACTTATCGATCCTGCCACGACGAGTAAGAGAGAATTTACCGATATCAACGGACTGGTCTCGACGAGTTAAGACGTCGAGGATGAATCTCTTGAAACAGAAAATTCTGTTGAAATTCATGCTATCGAAATTGAGGTCAGGAAGAGTTTTCCAAAGGTTTATATACCTCTTAGAGAGCAGACAGGTTTGAACTGCGAATTTTGTGTCAGTAAAAGAGAGGATTTTATGGAGGATGTCATCTGGTAAGTTGCTGAGCCTATCATCTTTGCATTTCTTGACTCTCTTGTTCCTCCTTGGCATTTTGATACAGGGATTTTCACACGAAAAACAAAGTTGGTGGGATGAGTATTTTAGTCTGAAAATTTCTGAGAAGAACAGGAAATGAAGAAGGAAGAGAGAATGATTGAGGGTTCATGAAAGGGAAAAGGAAGAGAAAGGGAAAGGAGAAAAATGAGACTAGTGATTGGCGTTTTCTTTCTTGAATTCCGATTTTGTTTTCTAGAAATTCGAGAATTAATAAATTAATATAGAAAAAGTAAGTTTATTTATAATAACAAGAAGAAAAAATAAGTAATAGGCTTAAGAGTGTCAGTTTTTTGTCAGAAAATAAAATAAATTCAATTTGAAAATCTGGAAAATTAAAAAGAAAAAAGTAATTAAAGTGAATAAAATAAGATTGAAATTTATAAAAAAAATTATAAATATGGGAAGTTTCTAATAAGAACAGTTTATGCATACTTAATTAGGATATAATAAATAATTGCTGAATTAAATGGTAAGTAGATGGAGAATCTAATACAATTTAGACTAAGGCAAGGTGGCAATTTCTTGTTATGCATGATTTTGTTTCTTGACATTTGCCAACTAATGCATTTTGAAAGGTAATTATGGGTTAGAATAGTATAACATTTTGTTCAATATTATATCTCTATTCTATTATACTATTATATCCTAAAAACCCAAAAATAGAAACCCTATCCAAATACACATTTAGTTCACTATTTTTACCCTATCATATTCCACTATACTATCAAATCCTATCCAAATACACATTTGTTTCAATAATCAAAATTTTCTTCAAAAAACAATATTATTCTATTCAACTCAAAATATTTAAATTATTTTTAACCTCTTGGGTTTATTAATTTAACTAAACACTTCCCACAATAAAAGTTTATAAATTAACAAAAACACCCCCACCCACCCACATTTGTCAGATTTCGACTACCACTTCAAAAGGTGGTCGAAATCTGCCGTAATGGTGCACTACTGGCTGGATATGGTCGGTCGGTGGATCTGGCCCGAAAAGGCTAGATCTATGGCCGCCAGATCTGGCTAGAGTTTTTGGCTGTTGATGAAAGCCATATCTTGGTTGTTATTTAGCCATCAACGATAGCCAAAAGATCTGGCCAAATTTGGCTCTTAATTACCAGATCTAGCAGCCGCAGATCTGGTCTTTTCTGGCTAGATCCAGGGTAGAGTTGGCCAAAAAAGACCATATCGGTGCACTACCGGCCATATCCAGGCGGTCGTGCACCATTACAGCAGATTTTAGCCACCTTCTAGCAGTGGTGACCGGAATCTAGCAAATGTGGGTGTAGATATTTTTGTCAATTTATAAACTTTTATTGTTGGGGGTGTTTAGTTAAATTAACAAACTTAGGGGATTAAAAATAATCTAAATATTTTCAGAAAATGCTATTAAAAAATGTATAAAAAACTTCTCATAATACTACTCAACTCAACTTTTTTCAAAAGACTATTCTAAAAACTCCCAAAATAGTGAACCAAATGAAGCCATTATATTTTAGCCATATGTTGCATGCAATGTTAATGTTATGGCATATGTTTCCATTGTGAATAAAGGTATGAAATTTATGAAAAATGATGTTTGGAAATTATGTATATGATGATAGTGGTTTTCTGACCACTCTAGTAGTACCCATCCCCCCAATATTATCTTATGACTCTCTGCATATGTATGATTGATTATTGACTTTGCTAGAATGTTGCAACTTTCGTTGGGTATGATAATTCATAGATTTTGACTTGAAAGATGCAAATCTCAATCGGTCTGACAGTTTTAGTGCCTAAGCGATGCAAATTCCGCTAGGCAAGTTAGATTTAGTGATTCTACCCACGCGATGTTAGATCTCGCCAGGTTGGACAGTTTTATCTTTAGGTACTAGTTATGGTGAGAGATTTTAGTATGGATTATGAGAGATGGTTTATAATTATTTGATATGTTATTAAAAACAAAATTTTATTAGAATTTTATGATGTCTATTTCAGAAATACAAGTTTTATGGTTTCCAGTTTTAATTACATGGCACGTCTCAATCACTAGAGTCCTATGGGTGCGCCTGGAGTAGAGGTGGCAGTGGGTCATGCTGGGCCAAAATTTTCATGGCCCACCGTGCCATGGGTCGTGCCGTGCCACAACCCAACAAAATGTGGGCCGTGCCAAACAACCAAAACTCAAGGCCCATTGTATGGCCCATGGCCTAGTGGATCGTGCTAAAAAAAATTTAAGCCGTATCGGCCCACATGCCAGCATGGCCCATTGCCACCTCTAGCCTGGAGCCTATGAAATAGAAAGAGTCGGGACGGGTCGTGTCATATATTGTTTAATTAAAAAGATTACTCTTTTGAATTTTAACATCCCCATCTATTTTTGTTTTATTAAATCTATATTAGTTGCATGGTCTTCATTAAGTGAAATGAAGACCATGGAATTAATATGGACTATAGGGTACCCACACTACAACCCAGTGTCAGGAGAAAATTTTTTAACAATGTTTTTCCTAGAAAAGCGAATTGGAATTTAACAGTGTATTTGTTTTATTATTTTGGGTAAGATTTTTAAAAATATTAAGTTGGGTGGTTATTATAAGGTAGAATTTAGAAATTAGCAAAAACATCCATTAGGTTTATTAATTTAGCCAAATACCCCTACAATAAAACATTAAAAATTAAAAAAAATACCCCCACCCATCCATTAAAAGCCAGCAGCTGGCCACCACCGCTGGAGGGTGGATGGGGGGTATTTTTGTCAAATTTTAAAGTTTTTTTGTTATGGGTGTTTAGTTAAATTAACAAACTTAAGGGGTTTAACAAAATTAAATTGAATATAATATAATTTTCAGAATAAGGAAATAAATATGTATTTTAGGTAGGATTTCAAAAATCCTACCCAAAATGGAGAAACAAACACACCGAGTTTTCAAGAAGCAAATCTAGCAAGCCGTTTGGAAAATGTCAAGAAGCCAAATCATGCAGAAGAAGAGGTTACCATTGATATTATTTTTAATTAATTCTCTTACATAAAGTTCAACTTGTTTTAGATTCTTCATTTATCATCAATATCCAAATTTAGCTGTTCTCTTTGTAATCCACTAAATGTATGTATGGTATGTTCTTATGAGTCAAGATTTTTATACTTACATTTTCACTAATTAATAAAGCTTTTTTCATTTACTTTAATTGATTTTTCTCCTTAATCAGATATATTTTGTATACTCCTGACAATTTAATATCAAGAATTCTTAACTAGAAAATTATTATTATTATTAAATGGAGAAACTTAAATTCTTTTTTTTTCATAATTAAATATTTTACTCAAAGTGATAATTTTGAGACGATTAAAAAAAAACTAAGTATTGTATTAGTGCCACAAAAAAAGTAGTTTTGTTAGTGTAATAAAAAAAATTTTTAAAAATTTCATTATATGATTAAAATTTGAGTTATATCTATTATTTTCAATATTTAAAAATATATTGATATAATATTATTAAGAAAAAAACTAAAAATTTTTTCTCAGAAATGGAGCAAATATGATAATAAGTTTGCTAATAAAAGAAACAAAATTAAAAACCTTTAAAAAAAAAAAAAAAAGAGTAATAATATAGTCTCTTCTTGAATATCTTTCTATCCATATGTTATTTAGAATTAGTTTGATAGTCTGATTAAAAGGGTAATAGTAGAAAAGAAAATTATTAATTATGGATGAAAAAACTATATTATATGAGCTTAGTTAAGTTCAAAATGAGAGAAAAGGGGAATTAATAAGTAATACAGTAAAACATTCTATAATAATAGTAGTGTGACTAATTAATTTATACTAGAGGAGGTATATTAATAGAGGTGTAGTTATAAAAATTTTTATTTTATATTATGTTTTAGTAGTAAGTATTAAGATTTCAATTCATTAGGATCAACTTCAGCGTTTCATTGTCTACTTTTTAAACGAATAAGAGAGTCGTCTTAGAACCAATAAAGGTAAGCGTCCTGATGGAATTGTAATACAATTGTTATAGTTAAATGAGTGAAGCACAAACAATCGCCAATTATTTTAAGCATTATAAAATTAGGACCTCCGATGTCGAAATTGCAAGTTATAAATAAAATGGATGAGAAGACAATCACATAGTTATTGTAGAATGAGTGATAGATTTGACAATTTCACTATACAATCGAATGGATATTAATGTCTTTCTCAATCATTCAAAGAGAAACATCATGTAGTTTAAATGAAGAAGAAATAATTACACAATTACACAATAAGAGAAGGAAATAATCACGAGATAGTACGAAAATACAAAAAGTTTCGTGTTGAGAAGCTCCAAACATGGTTGAGAAGTATAAATTTTGACTTAATAAGAACATGTCATGCTAGCCTAATTATTCGCAAGTTAAAAGTGCTGGTAACCTCTAAACATAAATCATTCTTTCCAAACAACTTTAGTATTTATTTATTTTTTAAACTTTTAATGTACATAATATATTTTTTGTTATACATCAGTATTTTTACTTGCGGACGGTAATTCTTTTAGACAATTAGAAAACTATAACTTATACCATGTGAATTTTCTATTATACTTCCAAGTTGGGAATATTTTTATGACTATATAGTTTATGGTTTTATGTTTTACGTATTATATTTATCATTATTTTTTTTTTTTTTTTTTTTTTTTATATCATCACTTTATAGGTTTTAGTCATTCACTTAATTAATTTTTATGTATTATTGTTTTTGTTCTTTTTTCATTTTCTGTCATGGATTGATTTTTTTGTGTGTTTTTTTTTCCCACAAAACCAATACTCGGCCTAGTGCTTCTTGTTCTTTATGCAACTCTTATCTATATTTAATTATTTATTTATTCTCAATTTTCATTGCTATTTCAAACTTCATATTCCCCCCATTCTTTCTCTTTGTGTGTGTCAAATTCAGGTATATTTTCATCATTCTTAGCCTCAGATTTAATAAAAATACAATGATATAGATTTAATGACATGTACAG